CAGCAGCAGCAGCAGCAGCAGCGCTCGGAGCCGGAGCTGTGTGGAGCGGTGTGCTGGGCCAGAACAGAACCGGCTGAGCGGGCCCCGAGGCCCCCCGTCATGGCCCGGAATACGCTGTCCTCGCGCTTCCGCCGAGTAGACATCGACGAATTTGACGAGAATAAATTCGTGGACGAACAGGAGGAGGCGGCAGCGGCAGCAGGGGAGCCAGGCCCGGACCCGAGCGAGGTGGACGGACTCCTGCGACAATATCCTTTCCCGGCGCGACGCCCTAGGGTCTCACGGCCTTGTTCTCCTTCGGTCTGGCTTCCCTCTTCCCTATCCTCGGCTCTGACCCCTTAGGCCCCTGAACCCTGGCCCTCTCAGTTCCGTCTCCCCCCTTCAGGTCAGTCTCCCAGTACTTCTCCTGTTCGGTTCCGCTGCGGCCCGGTTCCTTTCGGTCCCGATCTCCTCATTTACCTCTGTCTGAGCCCAGCTCCGTTCACGTTATCGCCCTACTCGCCTTAACGGCCGGGTCCCTTGAGCGCCGCTTCTCTGCAGGTCCCGGGAACTTGGCCTCACTCGGCGGTTCCCAGGAGCATGCAGGACCCTGTATCTCCAGGGGGGCCCAATGCCCCTTATTCCTCAAAATGACTTCCCCAGTTTCATCCACCCCTGCCTTCTCAACCCCTCCGAAAGTCTTTGAGCACCCCGTTTCTCCATCTCTCCTTTTCCGGAAATGGGGCCGTTCACCGGCTTAGTCGGGAGGTGAGCCTGGCGGCCTGGGGCGGCTCCTGGACCTTCTTAGGCCCGATTGTGGCACTTGAAATAGGTGGGTGATTGGAAGGAAGGACCTGTCAAGGAGTGAAGGTGCACCCTTAGTCCAGCCTTGAAGTCTTGAGATTGTGCACCCCTCATGCCAGAAACAGTCTGACTCTCGGTTCGGTGCCCCCTTTCTAATCTATTCTTTTCTTCTGAACACTTGAGCTTGGTCTTAGCCACACTCAACAAGTGAGTTCTGGCTTCTCGAAAAGGCTTCTTGTGGAGATTCTTCTTGTTCAGGAAGCAGAAGCTAAAAATTAGTAGTTTAGCGCTAAGAAAAACCAGCCAGCACAAAGCAGAATGTGAAAGTAGAGCCCATGACTGGAAATGACTATTCTTGCGACCACAGAAGAGGTGTATTTAGGAAAAAGATTAAAAATAGAGGTGGTTGTCACAGCCTGCTTGGTCCCTTAGCAGTTTGTACACGGGAAACAGACTTATTTTCACAGAAAGACCTTTTCTATATTCAAACGGTGTTACAGGAAGTACCCTCCCCTCCCCCGACCTTGCCAGGGCAGGCTTGAAGCCTCATGCTGTATATAAATTAGGTTCTTGGGATTTAATCAGTTGACTCAGCATGGGAAGTCTCATACACTGCCTTTGGGAGGAGCCCTGCGGTGCTGCTCCACTGTGCCTTTAAAACAAAAACCTTCAGCCTTTCTTTGTTTGAACAAGAATATGTTTTTAAAGGTGGAGGATTTGAAGTTGTATTTCCTGCCCCATCACCTCAGTTATCCACTGGTGAAATGGGGTCATGGGAAGGACACTCAGGAGAGAAGGTTGATTCTGCAGCCTAGTACAGGACCTGGCTATTGGACTTCAGGTTTAGGCCTGTGGTGTAGAACTTTGATCCCACAAAAGGGCAATTCAAGATCCATTTACTATTGCCTTGGATTTGTTCCTGTAGGGACTAGTGGAAGGTCGTTTCTTGGTCTGTCTCTGATTATTGAACTCCTTAGGTTGGAGGCTTTGGTTTGGCACATCCTGAGGATAGTAATTCGTCCCACTGATGGGAGGACAGAAACCTGTTACCATGGAGAGTGTACCTTATGGGGTTTGGAGAAAGGGAGGTTAGCAGATGCACAGCCCAAAAAGGGGGAGGTGAAGGGAAGCAATATTGAGTCCCTATCATGTATCACTTATTGGACTTAAATTAGATCATTGAATTGAAACTACAGAAAGACTTTTAAGTAGGAATAAAGGTTGACTAATTAGGGTGAGGGAAGGAGAATCTGCCCTAGCATTGTATTGGAAAATGGATCATAATGGGAGAACGGGAGCGGTACATCCACACAGACCCAGCCATATTAACCTCTGCTTTGTGTCCTTGGGCAGGCCACATACTCTTTACTTTCTAAATGGAGAGGAGCCTTGGTGGTGTAGTGGTTGCAGAATTAAGCTAACCAAAAGGTCTGGTTTAAACTCACCAACGATTCTGTGGAAAAAAGGTGAGGTGGTTTGCTCCCATGAAGATTTATAGCCTTGGAAACCCTATGGGCAGTTCTACTAAGTCCTACAGGGTCACTGTGAGCTGGAAGAGACTTTGCAGTGAGTCTTCACAGGTTCCGTAGGAGCATGACAGGATAGCAGGAGTTGCCCCAAGAGAGACTGACATAGTACTGAGAACACAAGTGTCACCATAAGGCATCTTGGTCTGCTAGGGATTGTAGAGCTTAGACACAAGTAACTTCAGTTTGAAGGTCAGCTGGACAATTTAGCTTTGTGACCTTGGGCAGGGCATTTCCCTTTCTGTGTCCCAGTTTCATTGTCTTTAAAATGGGAATATTTATCAGGAGGTTTCAGCAGTAATGAAAAGACATTATTAATAATAAGAGCACCAGCCATAGGAGCTAAGACTGTATAGGTACTATAACAGTCTCTTTTTCTTCTCACTGAAGTATGGCTTACCTGAATAGTGGTTTTGAGCAGTTTGTACTCCCCTAGCTCTGGGAGTACATATTTGATTAATTCTTGGGATGTGCCACTGAAAACTAGTGAGTAGACGCCAGGGGTACTGCACAACAAATACTCATCCAGTCCAACATGTCAGTAGTGCCACACTTTGGACAGGGTTCCCACAGCTTTCACAGCCTATTCTCTGAAATGGCAGCTTAGTAAATGATGTGTGACTGCAGAGCTGCCCTTTTCCCCAGATCCTCCAGTTGATAAAGGTCCTTTACCATCTGAGATTATAGTAAATGTGTAGCAGATGTGGTGGTAAGTAACAATGACTCCTGGCATCCATGTCACGACTTTGTTAGTCATGCTGGATTCAAATGAAGAGTATGCATCCTTAGGAGCTGCCAGTCTACATTTTCAATTAAGCCTGTGGGATTCAGCTTATTGCTTTCAAGTAGGTGATACTGTATTGACTTAGCTCACGGTGTCTTCATGTGTGTTAGAGTTTCACCGTAAGATATTTTTGCTGTAATTTACAGAAGCACACCGCTGGGCCATCTTTCTACAGAGCTACTGAGTGGGCTCACACCACTAGCATTAAGTTAGCAAACAGTCACAAAACTGCTTGTGGCACCCTGTCTCCTTTGCATCACCCAAACTGATGGTGTTTTTTTTTAATTGCTTTGGGGACCCCAAATTGACAGGGTTATAAATTAAAAGGTTTCAGTGACTGATATTTAATTAGCCTGAGCTTTAATTGGCTGGAGAAAAGGAAAGAATGGGCTGCCCCTCATATATGGAGGATGGATCACAGGAGGACATCAGGCTAGGGATTGTCATCTGGTAGCTTGATCTCAGCTAAGATGGAGCCATGCCAGGGAAGAAGATAGATTCTGCCTTTTTCTGTCTTTATATGTGGGCATTGCTGCATGAACAGGAGTAGAGACCCGATTGGGCAGACGCCATTCCTTGTTCTATTTTTGAAGCTTTTTGGCTGAAGCCAGTGTTTCAGATGAGGAAATGAAAGTCAGCTGATGTAATTCAGTTTAAAATAGGTGTCATCTTTGGGGACCTAACCCAGATTGCAGTTTACTCAGCAAAGAATATGGTTGCAGAGTTGCAGCTAAGGTTTAGGGCTAGGGGAGAGGGTTGGCCTGCTTTGTTGGCACAAAGTTCTTTTAGAGAATAAATCCCCTTTGAGTAGCAATTGGATTCTCACTGACCTGGGAAGGTCCTCTAAAGCCATTCAGTTGCTGTTGATTCCCAGGCTTTCTGTCTGCGGCACCTTTAGTGGGTTCAGACTTGGAACTGAATCTCCTTTTCAGTTAGCAGCTGACTACACTAACTATTTGCATCACCCAGAAAGGGTCTGTGAGTTATGCTGCAGGGACAGTTGTGCTACTGATACCTTCCCAAGTGACTGCTCAAACTTGCTTAGAGGGAAAAAGGTTAAAAGGGGCAGAAAAAGGAATGTGCAGAGTTGGCAGAGGTCTTCTCCCTCCTCCCATGGCTCAAGAAAGCTACCTGCTGTCCTCAGTTACTGCCTGCCTGGAGGCCGAGGCAGTGGGTAGAGGGGAGTGGGTAATTGGAAGGTCTCATTTGGTTGGACTCTCTTGTGCTGCTTTTGAAACAAGTTTGTTATGAAAGCATGAACAGTGCTTGAGCCTAAGCATCCTTAACTGGTGGTGGTGCACAGGGGACATGCTTCGGGCATTTCATGCAGCCTTGCGGAACTCTCCAGTCAACACCAAGAATCAAGCTGTGAAGGTAAAGTGGTCATGTGGCGTGTGGGGCAAGGGCTGTGGCTGTCCATCTCCCCAGCTGGGCTAGGAGCGCCCTGGGGCTCCGGGCAGTGTCTGCTTCATCTCTGCATTAGTGGGTAGCTGCCAGGAAAGAGAACTGGCACTAGGCAAGACTTGCAGGGAAGCCTCCTGGTTGAGGCTCCTCTGACATCAAAGCTGTCAGTGTTTATAGTAAGAGCTCCCCAAAGAAATGTTCACTCCTCCAAGGGCCTCATGGGGTGAGAAATCAGCCCAGGCCTGTTGATTAGAAACACAGATAAATTAGCTTGCTCTGTGGGGCTTAGCAGCTGTTAGGTTTTTATAGGTTATTGAGTAGTCTTTATCTGAATTAGGACTTTTAAGAAATATTTTATCAGGCTTTAGATGAAAGGTTAGAAATTAGATATTTTTGCCCAATCATTATTTCATGGACAAATTATTCTTCTCTGCATAAGGATTTTAAGTGCCCTTTTAAAAAAATTAGGTAAAAGGAGAAAGCTGTGCTTATTGTACCATTGAGGCTAGCTAAAGTTTTATTGAGGGACAGAGATATACCTGAAGTTAGGGTCTCAGTATCTTGTGTTGTATCTCTGTGTACCCAATGCTGCATCTTCTCAGAGGTAGAGAAATGGCCTTTCTGTGACTGGGTATGAACACAGATGGAAGATGCAAGTGAAGTACGTTTTCCATAATTATGATCTTGTGGAGTCCAAGTAAGGCCTTACTGAAACAAAAAAGGGGTGTTTTTCCCCTCCCAAGTAAGTCACCCCCCTAAAAAAAAGTGTAATAATTTATGGTATAAATGATATTTTGAAATTTAAATTAAAATTTCAGCCCCAGCTTCTCATACAAATTAGCACTGGACTGTGCTGCTACTGAGTTCTGACCACTTGTTTGATGTTGCTGTGCCTACAGTGGGGGACTGGGCTGTGCCTCTAGGCCTCACCCCCTTTCTCTTTCTCCTATAGGAGCGAGCTCAGGGCGTGGTGCTGAAAGTGCTCACAAATTTTAAGAGCAGTGAAATTGAGCAGGCTGTGCAGTCACTGGACAGAAATGGTGTTGACTTGTTAATGAAGTACATTTATAAAGGGTTTGAGAAGCCCACAGAAAATAGCAGCGCAGTGTTACTCCAGTGGCACGAAAAGGTATGTGAACACATTGCTCCAGCAGGTAGCCCTGTCTTACCCCAGGGTTCAGACCCATGGGATAGTCTAGTTTGATAGTCATGTGAAAATAAGGGACAAACCTATATTGAATCACTTACATCCCCTAAGGAAGCATCTAGTAAGGATCTGGTCTCTAGTAATTCCAGTTGTTTCTGCTTTTAAGCTGCTGGTTTATGACAGACAGAATAGGGTGTTTTTGATACAGACAAGGAAAGGGACTCCCACCCAGTTAGGTGAGTGGCTGGCCGGGGCTCTGTAATACTTTCTTTGTACTGGTATAAACAGTACAAAAGTAGCTTTGGGTGCTTTACATCTCCTGCTTTTAAGGGTTTCCAACCTCAGTTTCACTAAGGAAGGAGTGGAACAGTGGGCAGAACCCTTGATCTATCTAGAGCAGAAACTCTTGTCTTCCCATTGCTTGGGTCAGGTGTAGGCCAGGCCTGTATTGCCTTGCCTGTGTGCCATTGTGGCCCAGCCCACCCTCTGTACTCCCCTTTGCTCTCTAGAGTTAAAATAAGCATGCCTACCATTAAAGGGCTGGTGACCAAGATGCCTCTAACATAATCTAAAAGACTGTGGTTCCCTTACTGATGGGTTGTTTGAGGCAGCTTAAGTTCTGGGCTGGTCCTTTTTGGGTTTCTCTCCTTTTTGGGTTTCTCTCTTAGACTCATCTTTTGAGTTCTGAGCCTAGGTGAAAGCGACTATGTTTAGAGCAGCTGAGCAGCCTGTTTAGGCCAGACCCTTTTCATACCAGTAAGGCGACTCAGTGCCCAGTCCTATCTGGCTCTTGAGGATGCCAGGTGTCAGCTTTTCAGGTGGGTTAGTGTGCATTTAAGTACCTGGGGCAGGGCTGGCAGGGAACAAGTGTGTTTTTCAAAAGGCAAACTAGTAGGGGTGGGTCTGCTGTGTGGGGTTGATAAAAATGTTCTCAAACGGAATTTATCTTGGGTCCTTAGTTTTAGGGCAGGGCTTCTTCCCTGGAGTGTGCCTCCCCTGTTGCTGCCTCCTGCGTTCTTACAGGAATCCTTTCACAGGTCTCTGTGTTAGGACCTCACTGAGGCAGTGTATGGTCCCATCTCCCTGGCAAGCCAGGCTCCTTCCTCTTGGTCAGCCAGGTCTCATTTGACATATTTCCTTTTCCTGCCCCCACAGGCATTAGCAGTAGGAGGACTAGGCTCCATTATAAGAGTTCTTACAGCAAGAAAGACTGTTTAAAAATAAGAGACTCATGTTACCTTGAGAAGATAAGAATTTTGGATGCACAGACTGGTGAAGAAGGGATTGACAATGGATCATCTTCCTAGGAACTCCCAACTAAACTATTCAGGACCTGCATCCTCTGAAGTGTATTTTATTTTCAGGGTGGAGGGAGAAATTGTCTGTTTCCTAAATCCTTTGCAGGACCTGATAGTCTGCCTTGTCTATACAGAACTGACATTTGTGTCTGTACCAGAGTGGCTGGCGGGCCTTGGTCAGGTGTGCACTGACTTTAAAATGGGGGAGGGGTGATTTGGCAGGCATAGATCCAAGGACTGTGGTAAAAGGGAGAGTTTGCTTTGTGAAGTGGAAAAAAACCCAAGGGTTTGTACAGACATCTCGTCCTCCCAGAGAAGGCGGACTCTCTTGGGTTCATTGTAAAGTGCCTGCTGCATCAATAAAGCTCTTGGCTTATTAGTATATACATTGCAGTGTGTTTCATGTATGTTAAAAGTCCTAATGAATGGATGGGTGTGAGAGGTCAGCTATTCAGGGAAGTTGCAGTAGAAGGGTTAAGATCCCACATGTCCCCCATTTAGCCAACCTGGGGAGTGAGCATGGCAATCCACAGGCCCTCTTGCCACAGTGGACTGAGAGCCTCAGCTACTGGCTGCTACACAGAGGTGTTTCGCTGAATATTTATTGTTTCTTACTCCTTTGATTTATATGTAATTTTGGAGCTCATTTAACTTAATAAAGTGCCAAACATTTAATAATTGATTCAGGCTTTTAAAGTCTTCAGTTTGTGTAGACGCATTTGTGAGTCTTTTTGGTGGGTGATTACCTCCTCATGCTGGTCAGGGGTTTCACTGTGCTTTGAGAACTCTTGACACTGTATTGAGGTGTTTGGTTTTTTTTAAATATAGAAGACTAAAACAGGCAACAGCCATACTGTACATGTAAAAGAAATGTTACACTAACTACAAACAGTGATGCTCTATATAAATGCAACTTGCATTCTGCTGAAGGACTCCATTTATATCCCTGAAGCTTTTGCCCTCATATGGGCCTAGAATACTGATTTATTAATCCAAGAGGGGACTCAGTACTCCACCCCTACAGCTCTTTTGCAGAGCCACCACCATCCTTGAGAAGTAGGACTAGGGCAAGGACTTCATTAAATTACCTATGTCCACCAACCCAGTTCTGGGAGGTTCTTTTCTACAGCCCTAGAAGTTGGCCCTGAGATTGGCATACCAAATATGTCAGATAAAACTCTTTAGTTATATGTAGATTGAAGAACTTTAATCAAAAAGTGTATTGCACCACAAATGAATTTTCTACAGTAGTTTCAGATAATACAATTCTTATTTACAGTATTGAGAGATCAAGACCCAATGTTCATATAAAGGGATATATATATATATATATATTCTATCACAGAAAGTTTTATACAAATCAAAGTGCATGAAATCACTTAGAATATTTACTCCATTCTTCCTCTTAAAGCTGAAGAAAATTCACCATGCAGGAGGAAGCCTAATAAGAGTGAATACTCCCTACCAAGTACAAACTTAGCTTGAGCCCCACCACCACACCGAAAACTGCGAGGGACTTTGGGGGTATGTGTAAGACCAGCTCAAGGGCTGAAAAAACTGAGAAGTTGGGCCTGGCTTCCACAGGAGTGTTGGAGCTGTTCTGGCAAGCCTTGACCTACACAAACCTCTTTGGGAACTCTCCTAGAACATGAAAAAGGGAAAATACTTTTCAAACAGACTTCCTGTCAAAATGATGATACAGAAATGATTTCATATGCCCACCAGGGGAAGGGAAAATAGCATTCTAAAAAAATAGACATCTATACGGAAAAAGCTACACAAGGAGGTAGTTAACGAAAGAATGGTTCGTTTGGATGGCAGAGAGCTTTAGTTGGGACAAAGGTGATGATGCCTAGGTTCATGGTAATTTGGTAGGTTAACAGCAAATCTTGTTTTATAACCTTAAGCATAACTAAGAACATCATTGGATAACTGATAGTAAATTTAGGAGCATCAGTTATTTTTTTAATTTATCAGCAAAATTTTCATTAAACTATGACTAAATTATTTGCCTTCAGATTCAGTATTGTGGCTTATCCAGGACAAGTATGTTCCCTTTTCTGTAACAGGAAATTCAAGTTTTCCATTAGTTATTACCAGAGCCATCTATAAGCTGCCATGTACTGGCTGCATCCATGTGTGACTATAGGGAGAAGCAGTGGCTCTGCACACGAGGACCAGACTGCTTCCAGAGTTTTGGTCAAGGCTAGTGGAGGGTCAGCTGCTGTTAGTTTGAAATGCCAGACCGTCCCGTAACAGTAGAAAAAATGTGGTTAGCATTTGCTTAAGTGTTAGTACAATATAGAATTAAGACCTAAGCAAATAAAATACCAGTGTTTCAAAGAGAAGCAGATGGCCACAGAATGCTAGTTAAATTACAAAGAGACACGAATCCCATTTTAGAATAATTTCCTCTCTATGCTTTCATCTTCCTTTAAGAAGTTAAATGGATTTTATAATACAGAAATCATGTTTACAGTAGTGAAGAACTTTAGCTATAAAAAGTAGTTTAAAATGGTTTCCCAGCAACCTATCCAAGACAGTACATTCATTAAAAGGCAATTGAGTGTATTTGGTACTATCCTTATCTTTTCATATATTTTTCTAATTTTCTTTAAATAAAAGAGATAACATCCAAAAATTGTGCATTCATTAATCCACACTAGCCCCAGAGTGGAACTTAGAGATGTGTACATCCAAAGTTGTAGGTGGTTTCGGAGATAAGGTGAAATAATGATGTCTTGAAAGGAAGGGTAAGAAGCCTCTTCTCGAAGGGGAATTTTTAATGAACATCTCTCCCGAGTTGGCTGTAGCAGAAGCAGGTGGGCTTGGCCGGCCAGCCATCATTCCAGCGCTACATGATGAATGGTTGCATCCTTGCTGATGACTTTAGCTTTAGATGCTAACATTCACTTACAGGATTCAGGTATTACGAGGGGGTGCTGGCCAGAGCTGGGATTTCAGCAGCACTGGAAACCCGGATAGTGCTGGGACCTTCCAGTTTGTTGACTAGGATGACAGGATCAGCTATCTCTTGAGGCTCTTGTCAGTCTGCAGAGAAGTGGGCCTTAAGTCTTGTAAACAATGTTTAGACGCTTGTACAAAATACTGCAGGTATGGTGATTAAAAACCCACCCAGACTGGTATGTTAGAGTTCTTTTCACAGAAAAAAATGTCAACCCATGGAGCTTCATCCTTGGACATTTCTAAGACCATGGTATCCGAGGACTTGAGATAGATGGCCGGATGCTGCCCTTGGGAGCAGGTTTGGAGCCAAACCACGACATCTGTGTTTGAAAACAAAAGGTTTTCAGGTGAGAATCAGGGTTTGGTCAAGAAGAAACAGCAACCCTCTCCCCATCTCTGGGCTGTCACATCCTCTATATATCCTGACTCTGGCTGTTCTAGTAATCAATGTGCAGCAGGGCTAACAGCTCATACGAACTGTGGAAGGGAGACAGAAAGGCTGAGTTGACAAGAGTGAGGTAGTGGAATCAGGAAATTTTTTCTTAATTACAGTGTTTTATGCAATGATTTTTTCTTTACAAGTCTGGACATTAGTCCATAGCTGGGCTGCTGATGAAGTAAGAGCAATGAAAATGCTTTGGAAGATGAGATGGGTCAGTGAAGTCCTCACTAAATACTGGCTGAATGAAGTTTATTACCAAAACTCAAACTCATGATGTCCATGTTGGAATCAACATAATAGCTGACCATCCTGGGGTTTTTCAGAGACAGTGAGTTGCATGAGAAGGTAATGGCGATCTTTCTTCTGCAGAAAACTGACGGATCTGAAATGCCTGTCTTTGGTTTGGCAGCACAATTCCTTATCCATTAGGCCACCAGAGGAAGCCACTTCTAAACTGACAGTGCAGTTCTGGCTGGGTGCCTGGCTCTAGAGGGCTATCTCCTTTGCCAGGGCTGAGGCTATTTATTCTATTTGGAGGCTGGAACAACAGAATAGGGACTTCTACCTTATACTCCAGTGTTTCTTTGAGCATGTTTTCTTCTTCTTGTGAAAAGTTCAGCAGTACTGACACGGCTTTTATAAGATGAAATGCCTGAAACAAAGTATGTTTGACTGCCGTAGGCTTAGTGGCAGGGGGAGGACAGCAAGGACTAGGGGGCTCAATGACAGCATTTCCTTTATTTCTGCTCCTGGGGTTTACTCCTGCAGTCAGCAAGAACTGCAAGTCTCCTTCTCCCACTCCCCCTTTACTCTGGGACCAGCAGGCTTAAAGGGTATCCTCAGCAGCAATCCTGCTCTTTGGCAGAATGTGGGAATGCTAGCAGAATCATTTCCATGGGCTCTGGCCCTGGCATCCAAGACAGGATTTGGAAGTGGAGCCCATATCGCGTGCCAGGAGCCAGTTTCCCATCTAATCTCTCCCTGGCTGGATGCTTAATGGTAGCTGAAGAAATGACCAAATGTCCACACTGGAATGTGAGGGGGGAAGAAAGAATATCATGTGGTTCGACACAAGACTGGGACAACACAATATCTAGACAACTTGAAAGATCTTTACCTCAGATTCTCGACAGGACATGAATTTTAGAACAACGTGTTTCAGGTACTCAAAGTTGATCTCTCGAGGATCGGTCAGGTCAGTATTACTTGTGACAGATGGGGCTAGGTTTGGCACCTCTGAGCCAGTTTTCTCCCGGACCTCAAAGAGCTCATTATCAGGTCTGATTTTCTGAAAAACCAAAAAGTAAGACTGCACTGAGTCCCTGGAGACACTGCATTATCATGTCATGGAAGGTTCACTTGGCCCACGCTATGATCACCTACTGTTCCCATGGTACATCTGGGACATTACAGGAGGGAAGGGTCCCACCTGGGAAGGAAGTGCAAAAGTTGGCTCTCAGTTGCCAGCTTAGAGGAGGGGGAGAGGTCATTTGACATTTCCTTTATCCATGTCAAGGACACATGGGCCAAGCACTTTACAGGTAATGTACAAACTCGAGATAAGTGTTAAGGTGTGAGACACCTCCACTTTCAGATGAAGACACAGGCTCAAAGAAATACACCCCCAAGGGGTGTCTGGGAACTCAGATGGTTGTGTGAATCACACACACCTGGGGTCACACAAGCATCTGAGTTCCCAGACACCCCTTTCAATCAACTGGCCAAGGGGACATTATTAGGCAGGGAGAGTACAGACAATGGAAAGGAAGCTTAGGGCTATGAGTACTCACCAGTTCCTTCTGCAGAGTCTTTCTGAGTTCCAGCATTCTCTGCTGCATCTGCTTTAAGATCTGAGATAAATTCCCACAAAAAATAATATTTGCTAAATGCCCATTTCATCACCTTGAAGGTACAAAGGGAAAACAGAACAAAAAGACATCTCGTGTCCCTGATACACCTGTTAGAAGTTATCTTTGTTCCTGAGAGGCTCACAGGTAGTTTTTACACTCCTTTGCCTACTACTACAGGCTGTTTTCCGTATGTGATCCTATGTTTTGCACTTCAGGTCTTGAACCCACACAGCACACAAGTTGTCACAAACCCTTTCATGGAACTTGTGAAAGCCCCAACGCTTAGTCATCAGGACCACGTCCAGTTCTTGCCACCTCAGGGAGCACAGCTATAAGCGACTCTGTCCGTGTATTTTTGTTCTTCAGAATTATCTTTTGAATATAAATAGTGCTATGATACTAGAGAAAATAAGTCAAAATTTACTGTTTGTACTCATTGCTCTTCTAAAATACTGTAATCTACAACATTAATTTTGAACAGTATAAAAAATCATGGATTTTCTTCATAACTCTACCAACCTGGTGTTTTATATTTTTTAAGTTATTTTTACATTAAAATGGTTTGCATACAAAAATCATATACATTGTGTTTCATATGATCATTCCTGTACACTGTTTTATAAAATTAATCATCATTGATTTAAGCTCACTATCCTTGTCTTTTCAGGTCCCCACTGGACCTTCCTAATTCCTTCACCCTCTCTTAGAGTTTTATATATTTTTAATTAGTGAATTTATTTGTTGTTTTTTTTTCCTATAATTATATTTTATTAATTTTCATAAACATTTACAGAGATTTTGGGTTTCCATTCATTCATTGTTGCACTATAATTAGTGAATTTATTTGTATTATGAGCCTTTACTGTAACTTACTAACATTCCATTAGTCACTAGAAATACTTTACTCCATTTTCCAAATTAAAATGTTTTTATAATCATTGCAATATAGGAAAAAATTTTAAATCTTCTCTGAAGTTTCACAACTGCAAGATATCAGAAAATTCTTTTCCTGTGTATTTCTAATCCGTGCTTACATACTTACATCAAATAGATAGAATTTTTAAGATATCTTTTTTATAGTTTTCCTAACTTTAACTTTAAACAACGGTAACTCTAGGAGAAGTATGATAAATTTTACTGTAATTGGAGTTTCCAGTTTTTAAACGAAGCTGTGATAAGTTAAGCACTGTTTCCTCAGCAAAGCTGTCTTCACTGTCTCCTGAGGAAGGAGACTACTTGGGTCAGGACCAGGACACCTTTTACCACAGAAACATAACATTCAAACTACCTCCAACACTTAATTTTTTTAAATGGTACCTAGTTGTTTCAATTTATTTTTTGTTGGGTCCCCCCCCCCTTATTCATTAACTCATTCAATTAATATTGACCCAAGTCCCTACTATATCCTAGACAAAGTCTTGGAGTTTGGGAAAACAGCAATAAACTATCTTTCCTCATGAAAGAAAAAAGTTGGTCAATAAATATGCAGCATACCAGAAGATATTAGAGCTATGATATTGCAGCAAGGTAAGGGAGATAAGTAGTTCTGGCTGTGAGGGGAGGTGTCAGCAGGAGCCACAGAGGAGACCACCTTTCAGGCAAAAGGCTGTAGGAGTACCAAGGCCCAAAGGTGGGAAGAAACTTGATATACTCACAGAAAAGCAAGGCCTTGCTGGAAAAGGGCAGTGACGGGGAAATCAAGCTAATACCACTTTCCAGAGAAAATATAATGGTCATCTGGGTTAAGGAGTGGCAGTGGTAAGGATGAGAAGCAGTTAATCGTGTATAGTTTGCGGGCAGAGGCAAGAGAATTTGCTGATAGTTTGGATACTGGCTGCCAAAGAAAGGTTGTGGAGGATGACAGGACAGACTGCAGGAGACACAGGCAAGCATGTGAATCTGATGTCTGGTTTTGTACATTTTATATTTAAGGTGCCTTATAGGCACTTGGATATGGCTCAGACAGATCCAGAAAGCCACAGTTCCTGGGGATGAAGACATTGATGTGGCAGGCGCAGCACATGGCTGTGGGTAAGATCAAGAAGTGTGCATGTAAGGGAGCTCTGGTGACCTAGTGGCAAGAAGCTGCACTGCAATCCTGAAGATGGCATGGTTCAAATCCACCAGATGCTCCTCTGGCGAAGGAAGGGCAATCTCCTGTACCAGTCAGATCCAGTTCCATGGTACACAACGAGAAAAAAAAGTGTGCATGTGACTGACAGATGGCTCCAAGCTCTGGACCACCAGTATTTGGAGGTAAAGAGAGGATACTGAACCATCAGAAGAGTTGAAGGGGCAGGGAATATTATAAAGATAGAGAAATGACCTCTACAGAGAGGTCAAACTGCCCTGTTGTGAGTCAGAACCAACTTGCAGCTGACCCTCCCATGGGTTTTCAGAGGCAGTAATTTCCACCCTTCTTCCACGGAGTAGCTAGTGGATTCGAACTGTGTGCTCTTGGGATTGTAGCTCCGCTTCATACCATTAACTTATCTTTGACTTTGGCAATGTGGATGTCACTGATGGGCTTGGGAGAAAAGAATGACTGGGCTGTATTAAAGAGAGATTAAGAGAAGGTGAGACAGACAGGAAATCTAGAAAGTTTTGCTCTGGAGGACAGCTGAGAAAGATGCAGTAGTTAGTGAGTGAGGTCCAGAATGCTTTCTAAGATGATTGACATTATAGCATGCTTGCTTATAAGTGGATGGAATGACCCAGGAGAGAGAAAAATGACGATGCAGACCAGAGAGAAAAGACAGCAGTGAAGGGAGCAATGGGTAGGAGAGGTGATGATGTAGGCGTCCACCCCAGTATCTGGAAGGTAGGCAGGGGCTCCAGTGTCCAGGGTGCCTGGGTGTTGGAAACTCTCTTCTGATAGCTTCTATTTTCTCAGTGAACTAGAATGCAGAAATACTAGTGGAAGAGGAGGGACTGAAGGCTAAGAAGAGAAGGGAGAACTGAAGTTGTAATCAGTGGAAATGGAATGTGATGGTCCACCAAAAAACGTGGCAGGATTTCTGGGTGGAATGGGGGCTCCCTGGAGGATAGGAGTTCTTTCAAGGGAGACCAGCCAGTGCAGAGCAAGAGTTATATGCAACCAGAGAAGAGGCTTTGCCAGTACAGAAAGAAGAAAGGCAGGGAGCCCAAGTTTCAATAAAGCAGTGAGTGACTACGGATGGGGATTTGGCCAGGGAAGAAGGAATATCAGGTCTATGAGGCTAGAGGAGGAACTGATGGTAGGTCCTGATAGGGAGTGTATATGAAATTACAAAACTCAGCAAAACAAAAACTTCAGATTTTAGATTTATAAGCTTAAGTAGTTAAAACTAGAGAGGAAACCCATGAAGTAATTTCTAGAAAAGTCAGGAGAGTGATTACTGTTGAGGGACTGAGGATGTGAGGGGGACTACTGATGACCTTCTGCTTCCTGCCTGAGGGGATGGTTACATGTATGCTTGCTTTAGTCACTGAGACACACATTTGCTTTTTGCACATCATAAATCCTGTCTTTCATAATAAGAAGGTAAATAAGAATGAGGGAGCAAGCACAGTGAACTTTATATTAAAAATCAGGATCTCGGTGAGCTCTGGTGGCCTAGTGGCAGGAAAATGCACTGTAATCCCAGAGGTGCGCGGTTCAAATCCACCAGATGCTCTGCTGAAGAAGGAGGAACAATCGCCTCCTGTACCAGTCAGATCCAATTTGAAGGTACACACACACAAAAAAATCAGGATCTTATGAGTTCCTGTGTTTATAGGTGCAGTCATATGGCAGAGTGGAGAGAATCAGGCCATTTATTAAACCTCTACCAAGTGACCAGAAACTGTACAGGTTAACACTCATCCCGCTCCCAGCTGCTCAGGCTCTCATACACTAGACTTCATCTCAACTGAGCTGGGGATGAGGGAAAGGAGAGAGAGTGTACAGGAGGTAAGCTGACTAGTAAAATGAAGAAGCTCTTTTGATGAAAGGGGTAATATACTATCTCTCTTAAAACATGCCCAGGGAACCAGCAGAAGCCTCTAAGATGGCACTGAATTAGTTTAGACATAAAGGCAGAGGAAGGGTGCAGATGTAAGAAGACAAAGGATTTCCTTACCTTGTTTTTCTCTATAAGCTGCTGCTCCAAGTCCTGTTTTTCCTTCTGCAGCTGCCCTAGATCCATGGTTCCAACTTCACCATTTGGTGTTCCCTCTACAGCTGAAAGCTGGTACACAGTGTCCTTCAAAGTCATCTGTAGGGCAGTGCAGCAAGGTGAGAAGCCATGACAACTACTGCTCAAGCCAAGCCACAGGTACATGAGGATGGGAGCCAGACTCATTCTAGTCGTGTGGACTGGTATGCTCAAGTGGGCAGTCAGCCAGAAACTAAAGTTAAAATACACACTAGATTTAGTCTAGTTCTCTCCAAAGGAACAATTAACTTTCCCAGCAATATATCTTTGCTCAGAAGAAGAATTTCCCATCTGGAAATCAATAGGTGTTGCCATATACCATGGGACTCTCCACCTTAAAGAAATGCTGAGGAGAAGGTGACTTGCATTAAGACCCTATAGTTCTTCCTGAGTTGCAGCTGCCAACACACTGATAACCCACCGCAGGGCCTGGCCACAGACATGGGACTTACGTGAGGCTCAGTGAGCGAGAGCGCTGGCCCTTGCTCCAGGCCAGGCAGCCCACGCAGGTCCTCGGGTGCAGCAGCTGCCCCGGGCTCCTCTGCTCTCAGACTCCTCAGGGCCTCCAGCTCACTCTGCATCTCGTGCATCTGCAGCAGGGCAGAGTCATGACCTAGGCCAGGCAGAGGGCAGGGTGCACAGTGAGCTGACCCCATGTGGCTCTGTGACTAGGCCAAGTCTCAGGCAGGAAAAAGTGGGCCTGCTCAGCACAGGCTGGCTCCTTACCTTCCTTCAGCCGGAGGATCTCCTGCTCTTTCTGGAGAATCACTTTAGTTTTTTCTTCCAGACTCTGCTCCTTCTCACTGATTATTGCTGTCAGGTCAGCAGCCTTTGTGACAGAAAACCAGTTTGAGGGGAGGTTAGCCCCATTCTCCAAAAAGAAATCTCAATTTTTGCACTATGAATCCATCTTTTAAGCCTGCAGCCTAGAACATACCCAAGCTAGCTCCTGCCCTGATAACATGCATATGTAGAAATCACGTCTCCTCAGGAAGGAGCCCTGCAGAGGGCACTGGCTTCGAACTGCTTCCCTGCACTGGGCCAACCACTGATGTGACAGCTCGGCTAAGACATCCAGCAAGCTGTCAGAACGCTAACTTCCATTACCTGATTGCCTCTGTCATACTCTGCATGGGGTGACATGAAATCTTCCTAGAGGTGATCCTAAACGCCTCAGATGCAGTTAACCCCAAGTCCTGAGGCCTGTAGAGGAATCTGTTTCCAAAGTGAGCATCCACATTTGCTGCTATTAATAGCTTAATCCAAAGTGTCGGTGCAGCCTTACTGTGGCCTCTGGGCCTGAGGGGAGTGATGGAATTCCTCACAGAATTAGAACCCAGGAGGCTGGTGATTTTATATCTAACAGTAGCTGGTCATCAGAACCAGAAAGCAGATCCTGTAAAGTTTTTTTTGTTATTTTTAGTAACATTTCTCCCTACCTCCTGGACACCACATATGGCTGACAGCATCTCTACGACTCTGCCCACCACACTCCCCCTTAGAGGGGATCTCTGCCACTTGTGAGCAGGGAGATAGGCTGGCCTACAGGTACGTGGATGTACCTGTTGCTGGAACTCTTCCCTTTGTTTCCGCACCTCGTCCAGGGCTTGAGCCATTGCCACACTCACGATTTCTCTCTGGCTCCATTCTTCCTACAATCCAGAAAACAGGTGGGAAAATGAGCTAAAAAACTCTGTTCACATTTCTTTAGTTGCACAACTACTGTGAAGCCCTGTGGAGGGAGAACTGTCTTGTGGGATAAAACAAACATTCTTTCCACTTTCTGAAGTTCCCAGGCTGCCCTCTTGCTGCAGTGCCTTCTGTTTTCCTCTGCTAACTCTCCCAGTGTACAACCCACTGAGCTCTCTAAAAAGGCTCACATCACAGAGGCTGTTTGTCCCCTAAGTGCCCCATATAGTACCATAGTCAAGGCTAGTTGAGTCAGGGTCAGGACTTGAAGAGCTGTTCTAAAGAACACAGAACAAGACAATTCTGAGGCCCACATGAAAAGACCAGTGCACAGGAATAACCCAGTTATGGAAGCAGTAAAAGTATTGAATGCTTAATGAGCAAAGCATCACTGGCTCATCCAAAGCACCCTACCTTTATGAGAGGAGACTGGGGCTCTAAAAAATTAATTTGCTCAAGGTTCTAGAGTGGCATGGCCAGATTCAAAACTGTCTGAGTCAAAGCCAGTTTGTCCCACCCAGAATACTTTCTGGCATGAGCAAGGCTGCCTCCTTGGCCTCCTCCTGGTAGGGGGAATGTCAGCCCCACACAACATATACACAGCCCTCTTCCCTGACACTGCTGCCCATGCTTGCCAATCAACTTCCAGATGAGTAACACAACTTTGTAGACATCAGGGGAAAATATGAGGTACAAATCTCCCTAGTTTATCCTCCTTTTTTTGGGTAAGAGTCATGATTCCTGCCCCCCAGTTTCACCTGCAATTCCACATGGTTCTGGCAGGACTGCCAATCAAGATGGCTACAGGGATAAATGTGACTTAGGCCTGGCCAATCACAGTAGCTTAGCCTAAATAATTTGTCCAAAATAAGACTTTGGTCACCAACTTCACCCAGATGGGCCAATCAGAATCCTTTTTCATATGGTGAGGCTGAGGAGAAGCCCTCTTTCCCCTGTAGTCACTGAAGTGTGATGTTACAAGCTTGTGCTGCTGTGGTAATGTGCCTCAAACTAGAGGTGGCAATGTTGAGGAGAGGGGAATGAGAACAAAAAAGACAACAAGGCTAAGAGGTAGCAGACTAATAAGGGAAGAGACAGACTGATGTGGAAACAGAACAGGCCTGGTGGGGCCACTGGTTCCAGTCAAACAAGTTTTATAAAACTACTTAACCCGCCCTAAGAAAACTCCACTGATCCAGCACAAGCTAGGCTAATGCAGAGAGACAGAGACGGATTGGGGGTGGGGGTGGAGAGAGACATCTGTCTGTCTCATAAGCTGCAGCATCTTTGCTCCTCTGAAAATGTCAAGAACTGACTTTAGTTATGTGAGCTGTAGTTCTGGAGAAGAGTACTGAATATCCCATGGACTGCCAGGAGAACAAACAGGTCTGGGAGAGGTGAAACCAGGGTGCTTCTTGGAGACAAGGATGATGAAACTTTGTCTCACACACTATGGGGGAAAAAAGACATCATTCTTGGAAAGGTAGAGGGTCAGCATAAAAGAGAACGACCCTCAACAAAGTGGACTGACATGGTGACTGGAACAATGTATGTTGGAGATGGTGAGGATGGCACAGGCTAAAGATCTGTTCATATGGTTGTGCTGAGTCTCAGCTGACTTAATGGCACGTAAAACAATCACTACTCCTGGTAGCAATATTTGGTACCTGAACTCTATGAAATTTTGGAATACCCTAGACAATGCTGTACAGCATTACGGTTCCTCAACTATGCGTTACTACTGAAAAGGGGCTTAAGGAGTGGTTCTGCTCGTATAAGAGGAAAAGTAACAGGTTCCAGGAGCAGACAAGCGATGAAATGCTGATCCTACATGTCCAAGCTGGGAGGACTAAAAGATTGCCATACCTTTTCATAAGGTTTTTCTGAGGGGGTTTAGGGAAAATACTATGACTACTGATGTCTAAGGATAGGAGGCCAATCAGAAGACAGAAGGCAGGCTAGGACAGAAAGGAGAGAGTCAAGCCATATCCATGCTGGGAAATTGTGTCTGATAATTTTCTTCAGTAGTTGTGCCTGATCCTTGATTTGAAGATCAAGGATTATCATCACTGTAGAGAAAGGAAAAGAGATTCCTTACAAATCACCCACTTTGGGGTAAGCCTGAGATGCAGAACCAAAATCGACGTGGCTCCTGAGTCTGTGCTATTGCCACAGAGCCACAAGGAAGTTATCAGTGGGTTCCAGCTCCCCTTGACACAGCTCAGATTTACTGCAGTAGAAACCATGGCCCACACTGCTGGGAGCCACCAGGTGACTCTGGGCAGCACCTGGGCACCTGGAAATAGCTCAGGGAAAAGAATGGGCTACAGAAATTAAAAATGTGTGTGTTCCTAATAGAGTCCTCTTTCAAAATACATGGAGCAAAACCTGACAGAAATAAAGAGAATAGAAAAATCCACAATGACAGCTTGAAGATTTAGCACGATCATCAGTAATTGATGGCACAAGGAGGAAAAAAAAATCCCAGAAAATACATGGGATTTGAATAATTCTGTCTGACCTAATTAATATTTGCAGATTATTCTTTTTCTTGTTTTTCCTGAGGCATGCAAAGTATTTTTTATTATGTCATATTGTAATACTATCGTTAATACTTAGGCCAAAGAACAGTAGCAGGCAAGGTTATTAGTTGGAGGGTGGGCCACAGGATGGAGAAAACAGACAGCTACTTAAGAGTCACTATTCCTAGGGAGTTCGGGTGGCCTAGTGGCAAGAAGCTGCCCTGCAATCTCAGTGACGTGTTGTTCAAATCCAACAGATGCTCTGCTCAAGGAGGGGCAATCTCCTCCTGTACCAGTCAGATCTGATTTGATGGTACACAGACACACAAAATAATAAGTTTTCTTAAAAAAAAGAGTCACTACTCCTTAGATGCCAACTTCTGGTGCAGCTGTCACTGTGTTTATACAGGCACCAATATTAAGGGTGGTGGTTACACATTTTGGCCAATTAAAGGATCTCACTACTTTTGTCGTTGAATGACAAGCGTTCTCATCAAAGGTCAGGTGTCAGGTAGCTGGTAGCAGATAGTAGGTGGCAGGTAGTGGGGCCCTGCCTGCCTCTCCCACTCCCTTCCCCACAACAGAATAGTATCCTATGGTAGATTCTAAGGTGGAACAATTCCAGCATGAAAAGTGGAACTGGACATAGCCAGGAGGACGAGAAACTGTAGTCACCATCTAGAAATAATAGTCTTCTCCATAAAACCCATCAACATGCAGGATACTTATTAGCTTCAAAATGATGCTTTTAACAGATTCTCCAGCACCTCCTCTTGTCAGCTCTCCAAGTAATAGAGACTTTTGGGGAGCTGCCGGCAGGTGCAGGGAGGTTGGCTCTAAGGCCCACGAGCAGGTACAGATTACTCTTGCAGGTAAAGATTACTCTTAACGGCTGCAGAATATGTATATTCAAGTACACCGAAATATTCACCAAAAATAGGTTGGCCATATCCTTCAAAGTATTTATCTGACAAAAATGGTATTAAATTGAAATAGATCTAGAAAATGTTTCTAAACTAACCACATTTTTAACAGGTGTGTTTGCTGGTTTTAAAGTGAGACTCAGCCCCACACCCATCCTGTTCTTTGGCTGGTTCTATGTTAATCTCTGCCATAGCAAGAAACTAAACTTATCCATTAGCCAGTCTTCAGGACACAACAGAACTGCCCCATTAGGTTTTGAGGGATAAAATCTTGAGGGAGGTTGATGGCCACATTCTTCTCCAGAGTTGCTGGTGGGTTAAACTTATGGATACACAACCACTGTGTCACAAGGGTGCCTTTCGAAGGCAAGAGGAGGAAGAAAAAGTTTTGCTTCTTCCTGTTTCCTGTTTTGGTGCAGTTTTCAGCAATGCTTTCTCTCCTAGCAGCAGCACCAATTTCTTCCTGAAAGCTGCTGTTGTATCTGCTTTTACAAGGCTTTCAGAAGAACTCGTTCTCTGCCCTGTCCTTCAAAATGTACATGGACACCTACTGTGCACTAAACTTTTTCAGAGAGGGGCATATCAGCGTCCTGGGCCTCTCTACTTTCTGAGTTTAATAATCTCAGCCTCTTCACTTTGTTCCCTTATTCCTAGTGTTGGAAACAGCTTTCTGTAATTTTTACCTCTGTGCTATCTTTTTACTATTTTGACACCTGGCTAAAAAGTTATATTAGTTCAAAGTTCTGTATACTCTATTCAAACAGGTGTCGCTTCTATCTCCTGACTAGACTATGACCCTGAACACATCTGACTAGAAAACACTATGAGTCAAAGAAACTACAGGCAAATTAGAACTTCTCTGAATTGAATGATAATGAAACCAAAACATATCTGAGTAACTAATGCTCAGGGGAAATTTTTCAGTTTTAAATGCTTATATTATAAATGAATATATAAAATCAGTGATCTAAATATCCATTTTAAGAAGCTAGAAAAACTGTAGCAAATTAAACTTGGAAAAAGGAGAAAAGAAAGAAAAGTAGGAACACTGAAAAAGCTGGATAAATGCCTTCCATTTGTGTGTTCATTATACAAATTTGAACTTACTTGTCACCATCATCACCCTCTGAGGTTGGGATTACAGTAATTTTTTTTAGTGAAAGTTTATAAATCATACTGGTTTTAAATTAATCATTCATATTGCTGATTTTATAATATTAAATGTACAAATGTTATATTAAATGTTAAAACTGATGAATAGAATGAATTACAATGTCTGAATAACGCTTTAGTGTATACTCTTTCTTTTCACCCAACACCTCAGTCCTCATTTTTTTTTTAATTTTTTAAACTTTATTATTTTTATGTGCGTGTACCGTCAAATCAGATCTGACTGGTACAGGAGGAGATTGTCCCTTCTTCCCCAGCAGAGCATCTGGTAGATTCGAACCGTTCGCCTCTGGGATTGTAGTTGCAGTTCCTTGCCACTAGGCCACCAGAGCTCCCCCTCAGTCCTCACTTTTAAGATGTACCTCTGAGAGGAGTTGCGACTTGACTAAGGTGGCTGAGCTGGCTCACCTGTCCTCTCGCTCCTACTCATGCACTCTACTGTGTTCTCTGCACTATTAACAAATTTTTTCAAATTTCAACTCAGTGACTGTTGTTTTCTTTTTAAAACCAGAGCCTCTCACTAAGGGTTTCTTACTGTGGCTTAATTTTAGAATTACTCTTGAAATATCTCTAAGAATGGCACCCCTATTCAGTTACCTAAGTGATTCTCACCAGAAGGCAATTGTGTCCCCCCACAAACCAGGGATATTTAGCAAGTTCTATATAAAAGTGTATTGAATTGTGGCTAACATTGAGAAGAATAGGAATCTCAGAAAACGTTGAATCTGCTCATGTGAAGACCTAGCCTAAGAGGCTGTTGACCAAACACTACATGGTTCAAAATCAAGAAAGGAGCGTGTGACACATGCATCATTTTCCCCATACATTTTGAATCTATATGTTAAACAGATAATTCGACTAGACTTTAGAAGAATGTGGCATCAGTATTGCAGGAAGACTCATCAACAACCTGTGCTATACAAATGATACAGCCTTGCTCACTGAAACTGAGGCAGGCTTATGCTGCTGAAGATCAAGGACTGCAGCCTTCAATATGGATTGCATTCAACATCAAGAAAACAAAAATCCCCACCAAAGGGTCAATAGGAAGTATCACAACAGATAAAGAAAAGATTGAAGTTGTTAATGATTTCATCTTGCTTTGATCCACAATCAACATTGGCACTAGCAGTCAGGAAATAGAAAAGATGAGATGCATTGGTAAAATCTACTATCAAGAACCTCTCTATCAAAACAACTATGAGATATCATCACACCCCAGTCAGAATAGCAAAATTTAACAGAATAGCAAGCAACAAATGCTGGTGAGGTTGTGGAGAAACTGGAACCCTTATTCACTGTTGGTGGGAGTGTAAAATGGTGCAACCACT